GCTATGGTGGCTATGTTGATAAAGGAAACTAAAAAGCTTGCCTTTGGCCAGAAGGTCACTGTGATAATCTCTCACTCACTTGAGACTCTTATCCAGGCCCCTCCAGATTGGTGGCTATTGAATGCAAGGATAATGGATTACCAAGCACTGCTTTTAGATCCTGACTGTTGTTTTCAAGTCCTCAGTGGCCCTGAATCCAGCCACACCGCTGCCTGATGAGGATCTGTCAGCCCCATACCATGAATGCTCCACCTTGATTGACAGCTATCAGAGCCTTCGATCTGACCTGATGAACAAACCTCTAAAAGAGGAACCATCATTCTTCTCAGACAGCAGCAGCTACATGTACCAAGGTAAATGAGTTGCAGGGAAGGCTGTGACCTCCGAGACCCAAATTTGATGGGCACAGAGGCTGGACTCTGGCACTTCTGCTCAGTGAGCTGAAATCATTGCTTTGACAGAAGCCTTGAAACTGGCTGAAGGTAAGTGCATTAACATCTACACTGATAGCAGATATGCTGTTATAACCTAAGGCCCCCTAACTATCGCACCGAAGTCTGTTCTGTATAAGTGCCACCTGCTGCTTTCCCTCCCCCTCCCCCTTCCCATCTAACTAGGTTAAGTTTTAACTTCCTAAAAGGCCTATAACAAAGGCCTGAGGTAATAGCTCCTGACAACCCCTTCCCTACCTGGTAGCCCATCACAAATTGTGTTAGTTGCATTAGATTGTACTATATTCTTCACAAAAATAGCTTTGTTATATTTGTATCATAGCAATACCTGTAACTTGGCCTATTCCATTTGGAGGACCTAATTGATATGTTAATCAATGCTCTCCTCTGTAAAGAATTATAAAATCTTACCTGATTGATATGTTAACCATTGTTGCCCTCTACAAATAACAATTGTAGTGCTAAAGTAAGGTAACTAAGGTTGCTAATTGTTGTTAGACTTCTCCATTCTTTGCTAAGAAAAACAATATTTCTTCTTATCTAAACTTGCTAGTATGCAGGGAGACTTGCAATTGCCGTTTCTGCTTTGCAGTGTGTCACACCCCCATCCTCTTCCTTACATTGTGTGACCAGCAGCTGTTTGTGGATTTACAAGGTAAAAGACCTGACTTTTAGCTGTGAGGTGCACAGTCTCCAAATTGGCTCCTGGAGGCTGTGTCATCAGGCCTGGAAATAAAGCCTTTGCTTCCCAAATTTTAATTTCTTGCTTCCTTGGATTTTATACCAGGGTCTGAGTTATCACAATGCTTTTGCTACTGCTCATGTACATGGGGCAATTTATTAGGAGATAGGACTATTGACCTCAGCAGGAGACAAAATAAAAAATGTCCCCCAAATATTAGACCTGCTGGCAGCAATTTTGTTACCTGAGAAAGTGGCCATCATACATTGCAAGGCCCACCAAAAAGAGATGATCCCATTACCAGGGGAAACAATTTGGCTGATATGGCAACCAAAGAAGCTGCCATAAAATCAGTGGGGTCTGAAGAAGGGGATATAGAGGAAACTACTCCTACCCTCTTGCTGATGCCTCTAACAATATCAGAACCTGTGTATACACAAAAGGACCTCCACTTGGCCATCCAACTCCAGGTGAAGACCAACATTCCAGGAGGCTGGTATCAGTTACCAGATAAAAGAATCTAGCTGCCTGAAGTTCTTGTATGGGAACTCATTCAGCAAGCTCATCAGTCTACTCATTTGGGAGGATCAAAACTAGCTGAGCTCTTTCGGGACCGATTCTTTATACTCTAGCTGTCCAAACTGACAGTGGTTGCCAGTTCAAGATGTCCTCAATGTCAATTAGTTAACCCAAAACAACAGCTCCCCATGGAAACTACTCATTTTGGGGGAACTTCCCCAGGAGAACACTGGGAAATAGACTACTGAAATGAAGAAGTGGGTCTCAAGGGACACAAATACCTGTTAGTGATGGTCGACACCTTCACTGGGTGGGTGGAGGCATTTCCTGCTAGGTCAGAATCAGCTCTTACGGTGGCTAAAAAGTTGTTACATTAGGTCATTCCTCATTTTGGCCTACCCTTATCTATGGGGTCTGACAATGGCCCAGCTTTCATAGCCCAGATAACTCAAAAACTAACCCAGGCCTAACAGATTGATTGGAAACTTCATTGCAATACCAGCCTCAAAGCTCAGGGCAAGAAGAGAGGATGAATCAAACATTAAAAAATATGATTACAAAGCTGTCTCTGGAAACTGGCGATAATTGGGTAAGTTTCCTTCCTTTTGTCCTCTTGCGGACCCAATGCACTCCTTATGTTTCTGGTGTATCCCCCTTTGAAGCAATGTACAGGAGGCCCCCTCCTCTCATTCCAAAGCTCTCTGAGGAAAAATTGGTGGAATTGACTAACCTAGATCTCATTAAATCCCTGCAGGCTCTTCAGCCCATCTTGACCTCTATACATCAGTTATTCAGGCTGAAGCATCTTATGGTAGACTCTCACTCTGAGTGTGGCCTGCTGGTGGAACCCAGTAGTCTGGTCCTAGTAGAGCGTCACCAAGGAGACACCCTCGAGCCTCACTGGGAGGGACCCTACACCTCACTGGGAGGGACCCTACACCGTGGTGCTCAGCTCTCCCACTGCAGTGAAGGTAGCTGGAAAAACACCTTGGAGCCACCACTCTCATGTGAAGGTTCTGGACACCAAAGGAGACCAACCTTCCCAGGACAAATGGACTGTGCAGCAGACTGGTAACCCCTTAAAGTTAAAATTGACTAAGCATAGGTGAATTGTATCAGGCATGTATTGCTTTAGCTTACTTGCTTTTGCCCCTTCTATCCCACCACTGGGGATTTTAATAGTGCTGTTGCCGACCTCACACAGTGGGTTTGGACCTCCTGTTAGCAAGAACAGCTATTGAAAGCTTTGTATGGTAGCCCTTGTGATTGCGGAGGAGGCTATACCTGTGGTGAGAGTAGCAGAGGCTTGCTTATACATATCATAGGAGGAAAAGTGATCCTTCTCGCATGAATGACAAATTATATACATATAGCCTTCAGACATACTGTGGACTCAAATAAGCATTCCTTGTTGCTATGCCCACTGTTACAGGAGGCGTGTCTCAAATGTGCAAGTGCAAGGTAAAACTTCTCATGACTCGCATGTTACCTAGTACTGACAGTCAACTGGTGCCATGACCTAAAGATTGTCCTTATTATTCAGAAATGCATTCTTCCTGCTATGACTCAGTGCAGGAGTGTATAGGCAAAGAAACAAGACTTATTTCACTGCTGAGCTTCAGAGAATGTATGCTGGAAGTTCTGGGGGTGAATGGCTCAACATCCTGAAGGTAATAGGAATTCAAAATGTGCCCAAGCCTCATGTAGTGGCACGGTTGGTAAACCAGTGTGCTAGAGCAGGGTGGCCCCAATACATGTTTCTGATGGAGGCGGTCCACAAGATAAGACCAGAGAACTCATGGTTAAAGAACAGGTTAAACAGATTATAGAGATAATATTTCCCCAGGTGCATTATCACCCCTTGATGCTGCCTAAATCACCGGGAGTTGATTTGAATGCTCAGACTTCTGATATTTTGGAAACCACTTACAAGGCCCTAAATGCTTCCAACCCAACTTAAGCTAAAGATCGTTGGCTATGCATGGGACAGGCTCTCTCCCATGCCTCTCGTGATCCCCTCCAATGCTACCTTGCCATGCTGGAAGATCGGACCACTTAAACTGTAGTGTTGGCCTCCCCTTCAGAGTACAACCAGTAGGGTTTAGAGACTCTCCCTGTCTCCAAGGAAGTGATCATAATGATACTTCCAACATTGACGTGGGGTTCATTGCCTTTGCTAACTGTAGTTCTATAATTAACCAGACTACCTCTCTTTGTCCTGCCAAAGGATAAGTGTCCATCTGTGGAGGCAATCTGGCCCATACTTTCCTCCCAACTAACTGTTCAGGAATTTGTGTTACAGCTGTCCTGTTTCCTGGCATAGAGGTTTTACCTGGGGATGAGCCTGTCCCCATTCCTAGCCTGGATTACATTACAGGCCACTCAGAGAGGGCAGTTCAATTTATTCCTCTACTGGTAGGTCTGGGAATATCAGGAGCCTTGGGTATGGGGGCAGCAGGAGTGGGGGTCTCTGTTCAACTTTCCAACCAGATTGTTAAAGATGTACAGGCATTATCTAGTACCATTCAGAACATTCAGGATCAGATAGATTCGTTAGCTGAAGTGGTCCTTCAAAATACAAGAGGGCTAGACCTCCTGACCACAGAACAAGGAGGAATCTGTGTGGCATTGAAAGAATGATGCCGTTTTTATGTAAACAAGTCTGGCATTGTTTGAGATAAAAATCGAGAGATTGCAGGAAGACCTGTAAAAAAGAGGAAGAGAGCTATTTGAAAACCCCTTTTGGAGTGTCTGGAATGGAATCCTGCCTTAACTTCTGCCCTTGCTTGGATCTTGCTAGGATTGCTACTCTTGGTTTTAATAGGCCCCTGTATAGTCAATAGGCTAACTACCTTTATCAGACAGCAAGTACAAGATGTGAGGCTGACGGTGTTGCGCCACCAAGGTTATAAAATGTTACCAGTTCACCATCAAGATTAGTTCTCAAGTCTTTCCCAAAGATTTGGAGGAGAAGACATAAAGTCAGTGGGGAATGTTGTAACCTATATATATATATATAAAAAAAAAAACCTCATAAATCTCCTTGGAGGCAAGAGAAAGATCAAAGGTAACTCTAAGAGCAGAACAGGATGTCCTTCTAATCTAAACTTGCTTGTTTGTAGGATAACTTGCTTGTTTGCAGGATGTGCCTTCCCCAGAGGATGTTTGCTTAATCTAAACTTGCTTATTAGCCCAACCCTTACCTGAACCTTGTTCTTCCCAAGAAATGTAACTGCCGTGTTCCCATTCTGTAGTGCACTGTGACCCACCCCCCTGTATTGTGAAACCAGCAGATGTTTGCGGTTTTACAGGATAAAAACCCTGCCCGTTAGCTGTTAGGCGTGCAGTCCATATTGGCTACTGGAGGCTGCATTGCCAGGCCTGTGCTTTAATAAATAATTTTTTTCTTTCCAAATTATTTTCTCTGGCTCCTTCATAACTCAGAAAGCGGACCACCACAAGTCCCAATCCTTTGTATCCTTCTGTTTGGAACTTTTGGAATGTTGAAAGTATTTAACTTTTCATTTTACAAGGGCTTGTGTCTAAGAGTTTTCTTACATCTCAAAGCAGACTCGGGACTTTGAATTTTCAGCTATACTGAAACTGTTAGGAATTCTGTAACTCTTGCAAATGGACTAAATGCCTTTTGGGTAAGGAATATGCACAGTTCTTTCTAGGACTGGGGAAAAATATTATGGTTCTAATGTAAAGTAATATAATATTGATACATACAATACTGGCTGTTAAGGTTGTTAAACCCATGTTTTAATGTTCAAGTTGTACAATGGTAAGAAAAAACATGTCTTTGTAACTAGAGAGCAGTTTAAAGAAATGTGTTTGGTTTTCAAATTGGCAAGAAGTATATTATTATGGTTGATACATTGTGCAAACTTGAGAAGTTTAGAAGTTTAGTTAAGGTACTCAGCAGGGGATCAGGGCCCTCCATTATAAACATCCTCATCCTGTGCAAGAACAGGACATGGAGATTGTGCGAGTGCTACCTATGAGGGGTAGCCTGCTTATAATATAAGGGGGAAAAAAAGACTTGTTGTCCCTTTTACTCTTGTTGCTGTTGCTGTATTCTGTTGCCTTTAATTATTGTCCTTGTGCCATGTCATCTTGCATTAGAGACAGTTGATTATGGACTGAAACCTCCACAAACTGTTAGCTAAATTGATCTTTCCTTCCTTAAATCTGTGTGTCAGATATTTTTTCTTAGTAACAAGAGAAAACTAACTAAAATACTTCACCAGCAAAATGAAGGATAATATAATAGGTTATTCAGTATTTGAATAAATATGAGCTGAATAAAATAGTCTATATACAAAAACATAAAGTAGTAAGTTTTTCTTGGTATATGAGTAATCTTGGAGAAGAAATTGTGTTTTAAATTTCAATACAGTGCTTTGAAATGCAAAAAGGATGTTTTAAAGTAAGTATCTAGATGTTTGTGATTATGTACTTTTTGTTTAGGTCTATGGTTCTTTGTGAGTTAGTTTTGCTGAAAGGAATAAAGTCATTTGCTAGATACCTCCACATTCTTTTTCCCTCAACTCAGGTTTGTTACATCACAACACATTGAAAGTAGCATTTAGTTGACTTAACTCCTACATTAAGGATGAGTTAACTATATTTTTGCAGGTCTAATTCAATCATCTCTGTTTTATTTTCATTCATTTCTCTTTTTGGCTTCTTTTAAACTTGTAACTTTCCCTTATTTTGATAAATATCGTGTTTGAATATTTAAACTTCCTATTTCCTTGGCCTGTAGTTTTTAATCAAGTTTGAAAATAGCCGTGTCATTTTTTTTTCAAGTTCTTTTCCCTTTTACTATTTTTCTGATTTACTTATGTGTTTGCATATCACATTTTTTGTTCCAGTGCTTTTGGATATTTTATTTATTACTGTTATTCATTGTTCTTTTTGCATTTCAGTTTGGACATGTACTTTAAGAGAAGAAGCCAAACAGTCTGCCAGAAACCAGGAGATTATGCCCAAGCTGAAGGCAAAGACTGGAGCTCCTCCAAAGAACCAGCAATCAGTCCCTCCTCAGATGCCTTTTATTGTATGCAGGGTACTCCCCTGGGTTGGGTGTAGCACTTACACCATCTGTTTGCCCTCTTCTTGCACAGGCTGAGAGTGTTATAAATGATGGACCCTGGCCTCCCTGCTGAATTACTTAGTTAAACTTCTGACCTTCTGCAATTGACACAATGAATAATATCATACAATAGTAAAGGCTTGTAGGATGTCAGATGCTGAATCACTTAGTTAAGCTTTTAGACTTCTTAAATTGACACACTGTATAAACCATAACATAGCCCATAGAATGAAAGAAAATATTTGCAACATTCATCCAAGGAAGTGAATAATATCCAGAATATGCAAAAATTGATTTTAATCCTAAATGTTGAGGACTCTAATACAAATATTGTAATACCTTTTCTAATATTGCTCACAATCCAAAAGTTATATTTGTAATCCCATTGAGATGTTATTGACATTCTGGCAGTTAATTCCAGTCTACCACCTCCAAAGCAACCCAGGATGAGAATAAAGACATCAAGACTTACTCAAAGTTAGGGGTAATCAAGTGATCTTAAGCCCAAACCTAGTATGGATATGTAGATAAAGGCCTTGATCCAAAACCTCTCCCAGAATGTATTATCTTGTGAAGAAGAGGGTAGCCGAAGGATGAGTGACAGTGAGGATGGCAGGAACTATGTGAGTAATCTGAGCTGGCTAGTCAGGTAGAGAGAAAAGCATCTTTGAAAAATGCAGGGAGAATGATGTGCAGAAGGATCAATCTGCATAACTCAATCAAGGTAACAACCGAATTGTTTTTGGAGGATGTTGCTTCTGTTTTTGATATGTAAACTTTTGTGACATGAGGATTCATAGCCTCCTTATTTTGAGGCTCACAGCCAATTGACACTCCTGGAGCTGCATGGCTCTACCATCCTTCTGTGCTCATATCCTTTACGGAGAGCAGGATGCGAAGAAACAGGAGACTGCCAGAATGGCCCCAAGATTACATATCAGTACTTCAGCTGGCCTTATTTGTATTGCTTAGAGCCAAATGAAGAGAGAAAGAAATATCATAGTCAGCTCTGTGCTTATCATTATATGGAAATAAGACTCTTTAATGTTGCAGCAAGGAGAGGTGCGCATGTAGCCTTCTACAATAACTCAAAAGAGTCAACTACAAAATTATATGACATAATTCAAAAACTTTTGGTATCTGAAAAATTCTCATTATCACCAATTATGAGGGGACGTAAGTAAAACCCATGTGATATTGCTGTGTACATCCTGGATGTAGAGAGACTGAATCCCTTAGTTAAGCTTCTAGACTTCTCAAGTTAACATACTGTATAAACCATAACACAGCCCATAAAATGGAAGAAAACATTTTAAAGATGCATGTAAGAATGAGGAGAAAGAATTCTTACACTGTTGGTGTAGAGTCACCATTGAAAATAGTTTGAAATTTACTTAATAAACTAAAATTATTTAAAAATGATTACCTTATATATAATTTGCTTGTGCTATATCCCACTAATTGTTATAATTCAAAAAATATGAAACCATATAAAAATACCTTACCTGCAATTCCAGGCTTAAAAAAGAATAGTACAAGTTCAAGGACAGCCTGCACCACATATTGAGCTCAAAATAAGATTGAGCTAGTATTACAGGCAGTTAAGTTAGTTAGTCATACAAGCCAGACTAGATAACTTGTAATCCTAGAGGAGAAAACACACACCTCCTGTTATGGATTAAAAACTGATGATCAACTTTAATGCCAGCTGAATTAAATCAGCATGGTGCTGAGCATAGATGCTCCACCTGAGGAAAATTACCAGCATAAATAGAGTCGTAGAGAAGCTAGACATTGTGGCTTCTCCTATGTGTTGTTATTTGAACCACTGGTTCTCCTGGAGGAGCTAGTTTCCCCAGTGTGAATTCAACCATTGTCATCAGAGGAGCTTGAGACCTTGTTGGTGAGAGTGGCTGTGGTTCACTTTGGGGGAGTCTGGTCCTTACAGTGAGCATCACTTCCTGGCTCCAGAGGTGAAGACGTGGGCAGTTTAATCTCCAGGAGAAACTTGACATGCTGGCTTTCTGGTATGTACTCAACTGTTCTCACTATCAGAGAACCTTGGAGCTTCTGTGTCACTGAGGATGGTTGTGGTACTTTTCAGGACAGCCCTGGTCCTTGTTTTGAGCATGACTTCTTGGCTCTAGCACAGAACCCTCAGCCTACCAGAACAGATCCTTCACCCCACTGGCATAAACTTTCTAGCTTCCACCACTGAACTTTGAGCCTTCCCAGAACAGATCTATAATAGACTGGCATGAGACTGTCTGGGCTCTAGAACAGTTGGATTTGTGAGAGACATTGTCAGGAACCCCGGGTATTCATCTGGAATCATGCAGAACATTGCTGTGGGATTCAAGCCCTCAGCTGAGTATTCTGGGTCTTTAATGTTGTGGACAGATTTCCTGTACTTTCTTGTGTTAAACTCTGGGTGGTTATCATAAAATAATATAAATTTTGTGTCCTGATTCTAATTGCACAACCCCTCACTACAAGACCTCCAACTGTAAGTCAGTTCTCAAGACAAAATGCAAAACTAATTCAATCACAGCCTAAGTATAAACATCATGGATTGATATTCTAAACAAGTATGAGTCACCTTGAGGGAGCCAGGAATCACCATCCTAATCCCCTAAAGGAAGAGTCATTGCTTGCTACTTGGCTGGCTTCCCCATTTGTTCCTGATTTTATCAATGTTACATGAGCTATTAATCTAGTTGTGTATAGGTCTGTCCTACCTCAAGCCTGTTCTATCTCAATCAAGTTCCCAGTTTTCCCCATCTTGGACCTGTCTCACTTCATGGTTTTACACTAAAAGTCCCTAGGAAAGACAGAGTCTTTGGCAACCTGCTCAGAACCCCTCTGTCTCTCTCAGATAGAAGCTTTCTTTCCTCAAGAAATATATTCTGCTCTTAACCACCATTGTAGCTAAAATGCATTCTTCAATTTTAGAGAACATGAACTCCTACTGGACATCTGGTAGATTGAGAGTTTCATTCCCTTATGTCAGTAGGAAGTACCAAACTAACATAAGATAGGAGAAATAATGTTCTGTAACACACAATTGGGTGACCGTAATTTATTATATAATTTAAAAATAATGGTGAAAGAAGAATTTGAAAGTCAATGGAAACAAGTCAATGTTTAGGAAGATGGAGATGGAATTACACTGCATTAATCATTACACACTTTCTTGGTAACTTTTCTCTTGTTGCTGGAACAAAATACCCAGCACCCAAAATTAAGGAAGGAAAGATTTACTTAGCTTACAGTTTTTGGAAGTTTCAGTCCATAATCAGTTGGTTGTCAGGGAGGATGTCATGGCACTGGGCAGCACTTCAAGGCAGCAGCCAGAGCAAAAGGCAAGGGGACAGGGGAAGAGCAAGCCTCTTTTCCTCCTTTATAGTGTGTGCATACTACCCCCCACTCCAGGATGGGGTAGCCGTCAAAATCTCCTTGCCTTCCTCTTGTACAGGATAAGAATATTTGCAAAATAGCGATCCTAGCTCCCTGCTGAGCCTCTCAGTTAAACTTCTAAACTTCTCAAGTTGACACAGTGTGTCAACTATATACACTATATGCATGTATTAAATTTTTACAGAGTTTTTGGCATATTTATAGCAGCACAGCTCATAATAGTTAAGTCTTGTAAACAACCCAAATGCCTGTAAACAACCTAATGTATAAAAAGGATTTTTTATGCAGTGGAGTACTATTCAGCCATAAAGAGAGATAAATTTGAGAAAATTCATAGCTAAATGGATGGACCTTGAGACCATACTCTTAAGTAAAATAAATCAGACACATACATACAAATATCACTTTGTCTATATGGTGTAAGAAATTGAAAGTGTAAATATGAACCAAAATGTATGTTAGATACTATAATAGAAATAGGAAATAATTATTCAAACAGGAAGGGGAACTAAGGTGGCAGATGGAAGGGAAAAGAAAAATGAGTATAAAAGCATAAAATGGAGCAAAACTTTGTAAATAAGGAGGGAAAGAAGGGTTAAAGAGGGAAGAAGCATGAAGAAAAGGGAGGAATTAAGATACTTCATATACAGGTATAAATTCCATATGATGAATGTAATGTGATTATTATGTATGTATAAATTATACCAATCAATGCAACTTTTAAAAAAGGATGATTCAACACCAAAAGAGAAAGCAAGACAGTATGGAATGACCAGAAATATTATGAAGGAATACTATGCAGTTATGCAGTTATTAAAAATAGTGAGATTATGAGATTTAAATATGTGGAAATATGCATATACACCAATAAAGTGGAGAATTAAACAAAAAAATCACATGAAACTACATAAATATGTGTGGTTTTGAAAAATTTTAAGAAAAGTATTTCTCGCAAAGATGTTTCTTATATGTGAGATAATACTTTTAAACTGTTCGTATCATTTTACAGTCAAAAAATGAATGCCAAGCTCTTGTTTTTAATTTTATTAAATATTGTATTGATTTATAAAATGTACTTATTTGAAAAACTTGGCAACATACTGCCCTAACAATATTACAGAAATTTTCTCTAACACTTGAACTCTTTTTCTATATAATATTGTCTGTAAATACATGTTGCAAATCACAAATAACTTTTGTTCTGTCTATTGCACAATGATCTGAAAATAATGACTTTTTCATTGATTATTCTAAGATTTAAAAATTAACTAACTTTTATTGTTATATGATATATAATACTTTTTCTCATTTTTTTGTAGCAAGGATTACTTTTTTACATCTTATAAACATTGCCTTGATTGAGAAATAAGCTTAGTCACTGATTTATTCTCAAAACTTCACTCCATAAATAGAAAACAATACCTATGTTCCTGGTAGTGCCAAAGTAGATATATATTATTCCAATTATTGAGTTTGATTTCTAGAATAAGTAAGAGACAACTTATTTGATGCACACTAAGAACTGCTTCCTATAGGGAAAAATTAAGACAATGAAGATGACAGAAGATGTGGGAGAGTTAAAAGATTTTTTGCTAGTACATTTTTTATTAGTACTTGTTTATAGTATGCAATGATAACATTCCTCATGGGGAATTCATACATGTAAAAAATATATCTTAATT